TGTTGCAGTACTTGTAGTTGTCCAAAATGTTGTGTTACCTACCAAAATTATTACACATTCTATTTAATTGTACTTTTGTAATTACTTACCACTGTGTGTTGCAGTACTTGTAGTTGTCCAAAATGTTGTATTACCTACAAAAAATGTTACACGTTCTATTTATGTGTACTTTTGTAATTACTTACCACTGTCGGTAAAGTTATTAAATGGCGTTGTAACGGTTATATTATCAGGTGTTGCAGTGCTTGTAATTGTCCAAAATGTTGTGTTACCTACAAAAATTGTTACACGTTTTATGTAACTTTACTTTTGTAATTATTTACCATTGTCGGTAAAGTTATTAAATGGCGTTGTAACGGTTATATTATCAGGTCTTGCAGTGCTTGTAGTTGTCCAAAATGTTGTGTTACCTATAAAACAAAATTACACGTATGGTTTTTATTATTTTTTTAAATTACTCACCACTGTTTGTAAAGTTACTAAACGGAGTTGTAACAGTTACATTGCTAGCTGATGTCGAGTTTGCTTCAACAACATTTTCATTTAATATAAATATGTTTACATTCACACCAAATGTTTCTTGTTTTATAATGTTAGGTGGAGATGCAAGTATGACAGGCACTAAAACAAACAAATGAGTTTTCAATTTCAATGTGTTTTTACCAAATTTACAAATTGCCAAAAATGGCAAAACCGTTTGGACGACAATAGCCATTTTACTTTTTCTTGCACCTATTTCGTTATGATTTAAAAATCAGAGAACGAACTTATATAGCATTTTGGTGTAGTACAGGGGAAGTTTTATCAATTTAGCTTTTTCACTAATACCAGGATCAAACTTGTAGAGATAATACACAAGTGGGCATATTTTTTTAGTGACTTCATCTTATTCGAATTAATGATACGTAATTATAATTTGTAAATCGATATTTTTGCTAATTTTGTTCCATAATTTAGTGTTTTAAGTTTACTTTAGTCAACACGTTAAAAAATCTCTACTTTAAATTTGCTTTTTAAAAAAAATCATTTAAATGTTTGAATCATCGTTTCATCAGACACTTCAAAATTTATCACGTTTCCTGCTTTTTAAGCTTTAGGTTTTTGATATCTAAAAAAAATTAAACAAAAGGTTTTTATGATTAGATTAATAAATAGTAAGATTTTTTTATTACATGAGAATTTCGAATTTCTTGGTTGTTTGTATGAACTTTTAGGAGGCTTCGGCGTGTATTTAATTGCTAGGAAAATTCAAAAAATTGTTTTTTTTTTTAAATTGTTGTAGATAATTACGATGTGGATTGGCCGTAGTTGGAGCATCTAAAAATCCCAAGTTAACGATTACGATTGCGTTTCAGGTGTCACTTACAAGGCGTTTTCCGGGAGATCGCAATGTTCAGCAACGGCGTTAAATTCCAGCCCTTTTTGACATTCCACGATTTGCTTGAATCCGTTGTAACACTGCCAATAAAGGGTGCAGTTCCCGTAATAGGGATAGCGAGAAGGGCGTTCGGCGGGGTAGGGACAGAAAGGGTCCGGCGTCCACTCTGCTTCTAAATGGTGATTTAAGACAGTGGCGGTGCAAGTGGGGGTACTTACGAGCAGAAGAAAGGGCGACAAGGGCTAGAGCCAAGCTACAAATTATTTGATTTTTCATTGTGTACTGATTCTGTGAGAAAAAAAGTTGATTTTTATAGGACTAAGTCCGGATGTGATTTGATGATATTTCAAAACTTAATTTTCGATAGGTTAGTTATATAAAATCACATTTCCGGCCCTTGAATTAAAACGGATGTGGATTAATCGATTATTGTAATTTGGACTTTTGGCGTTCAAAAATGAAATAAACAGAAAAGTCGTGTAAAAAAATATGTAATAAAAAGATTTTTTTAATTGTTTATACTAAAATAAATATCAATTTATGTCTATTATTCAACGAGCTATGACGGTTATTAAATATTATTTACAAAGTCAGTTTATTAATCGCCTACGTGAATATATGCGAGTAGAATACTATGGTTTATCTACGACTATGAAATATTTTTGATTTTTGGTATTGACAAGTTTGACGTTTTAATTTAAGTAATAAAAATGTCAAATCAAAATTTTTTATAATGTTTAAATCCATAAAAATTAGTATTTTTTTGGGTGCTATTCAGATCACAAGAGCTAGATAATCAAATAAATTTTTTTTTCACTTGCTATTACTTTTTTGTTTTTTTTTTTATATTGTTTTTCTAAAACAAAACTTGTAGTCCACTTTTAGACTTTTTGAATAAAGAAAACTATAAGTTCATGGTGTTTTATTTTTATTTTTTTTAACTTACCTATTATTATTTTTATTTAATTTTGTTCAAAGAACCGATATTTACCAAACAATAACAATTTTTGCTCTATTAATTTAGTCAACGCAATAATTTACAAGAAAGTCACCTGTAAAATTTTATTGTTATCGTAATACAGGGTGTTTCGTTTTTATTGTTACAAATTTAAACATGGTATAGAATATTCAATTTTAAGACAAAAGTCTCCTATAAACATGTATCGAAAAATACCACTCAAAGTGGTGTCTTTTTAATGGATTTTTCCAGTTTTTTACTCAGTTTGAAAACTGCTGGAATGCTTTTCAAAAAAAAATTCTTATTTTACTTATTGTGATTCCAAAAAACGCCGTTTTTTAAATATTATTTCACCATTTTTCCACTACACTGTGTGAGCACAAAATTATATGTATTTTCTAAAATACTCCAATTTTATTTAATATTGTTTTCAACACCAGGAGAAATTTTGTAAATTTTATTTACGAGTATATTAAAAAAATCACACAAGTGGTGTGTTTCATGTTTTTATCACTAATTGATGACTAACTGATTTAAAATCTTATCACTTATTGTGAATGTACTTATTATCTGTTGCAAATTGGGTACATATTTTGGAAAACAATTTAAAAAAAAATTAAATTTTTACTACAATACTTTTTTACGTCATTTCTACTGCCATTTTAAAATGTTTTTTACTACACCTTGGCCCCAAAATGAATTTTATCTTACTTTATCGATCTTGTACCATTATTGTTACCACAAAAACACTTAAATAAACACAAGTTTTATTGATATTACTATGTAATATGTGTGTATCAGGAACGCAAAAATCTCCCGGATAGTCACATGCTAGGAGCTCCATGTTAAACCAAAGTCCCTCAGGACACGACATAAGTCTCCTGTCTCCCGACCTGCACTCCCAGTACTTGTTACAATCCTCCTTGTAAGGGATAAAAGTGTCCCCACTGGAGGGGCACTCGGGACCGAGGTCGGGGGTAGCGACAGCCACCCGTTGTGCCTCTAAATGCAAGTTTAGAACAGAAGCGCTGCATTTGGGGTACTTACGGGCACAGGAAAGGGCAATAAGGACCAAAGACAAAATGCAGATTTGATTCTTCATGATGCACTGACGTTTTTGCCAACCTGCTGACTTTTATAGACACTGATATCTTTTTTTTTGTGATATTGGAACACGAATTTGATTTCGGAAGATTTTATTTTTGAATTTATCGAAACGATAAGATCTTATCCGGGTTTTTCCACGTCATTAGAATATTTTGAAAGCAAAAGACTAATAAAAACATCAATGCTCGTATAATCATTATAATCTACCTATCTAACTATTATAGTTTAGTTTTTGAAAAATTTGCATCTTTCCATTGTTTTATATTCAAATAAGTGGAAAATATCTGATTTTTGTAATAAAACACGAAAGATTTGCTGATATAACACTGTCGGCAAAGTTATTAAATGGCGTTGTAACGGTGTTACAGTGCTTTTAGTTGTTCAAAATGTTGTGTTACCTAAAAAAAATATTACACGTTCTATTGAATTAGAAGTACTCTTGTAATTTCTTACAACTGTCGGTAAAGTTATAATTCCAAGTATGACAGGCACTAAAACAAACAAATCAGCTTTCAATTTCAATGTGTTTTTACCAAATTTACAAATTGCCAAAAATGGCAAAACCCTTTGGACGACAATAGCTTTATTGCTTTCTCTTGCGCCAATTTTCGTTATGATTTAAAAATTAGAGAACGAACTTATATAGCATTTTGGTGTAGTACAGGGGAAGTTTTATCAATTTTGTTTTTTCACTAATACCAGGATGAAACTTGTAGAGATAATACACAAGTGGGCATATTTTTATAGAGACTTTTTCTTATTCGAATTAATGGTATCTAATTTTAATTTGTAAATCGGTATTTTTGCTAATTTTGTCCAAAATTGTATATTATTCAACGAGCTATGATGGTTATTATTTACAAAGTTAAGTTTAAAAAACGAGTCGTAGACGAGTTTATTAATCGCCTGAGGGAATATATGAGAGTAGAATACTATACTTTATCTACGATTATGAAATATTTTCGCTTTTAGGTATTGACAAACTTGACGTTCTAATATAATTAATAAAAATGTGAATTAAAAAGGTTTTTTTTATGATGTTCAAATGCATAAAAATTAATTTTCTTCTTTGGTTGCCATTCAAACCATAGGAGCTAGATATCTGATAATTTTGCTTTTTTTTGTAGACTTTTTGAATAAAGAAGACTATAAATTTATGGCGATTTTTTGTTTCTTATTTTTTTTACTTATTATTATTTTTTATTTAATTTTATTTATAGAACCTATATTTACCATACAATAACAATTTTTGCTCTATCAATTTAATCAACGCGATAACCTACAGCAAAATCACCTGTAAAATTTTACTGTTATTGTAATATAGGATGTATCGTTTTTATTGTTACAAATTTAAACAGGTGACAGAATATTCAATTTTAAAACAAAAGTTTCCTTCCTATACATGTAGCGAAAAAATACTATGTAAGGGAGCCTACTCCCCCTCAAAGGAATTTTATTTTCTAAAGTACCAGAAACTGGTATTTCATGTTCTTTATCACTAATTGACTGATTTAAAATCTTATCACTTATTGTGAATGTACTTATTATCTGTTGCAAATTGTTCCAAACGGTCAAGTTTAAAAAATTGCTTGAGATTGTAGGTGCATAATTTCATTTTCTTTCTATAAAAACTGATCATAAAATTGGTTACATGTTTTGGAAGACAATTTTAAAAAATTAAAATGTTCACTGTAATTTCGAGATGAAAATTCTTCTTGTGACAGTACTTTTTTAGTTATTTCTATTGCCATTTAATTTTTTTTCTATACTTTGGCTTAGAAAAGAAACTTATCACACCTTATCAATCTTGTAGTGTTGTTACCACAAAAACAATTAAATAAACAAAAGTTTTATTCATATTACTAGAAGTTACAATTCATTTATTGGAAATATTTTCACATTTTTCACTTGTGTCGTGTATCAGGAACGCAAAAATCTCCCGGATAGTCACACTCGCTTATTTCCTGGTGCCACCACAAATCCGGTGGACAATTATACGTGTACAACCTGCCATTAGCACACTCGTAGTACTTGGTACAATCCCCGGGATAGGGATAATAGACGGGATCATCCCCAGTCCCGGTACAATCCGGCAAATCGCCTTGCGTGTTACTTGACCCACTCGAAATTGACCTCCTAGATGTTGAAGTCCAACCCGACGTTCCTAAAAAACACTCAATCCTTGCCCTTGAAGAAAAACCTCGACTTACTTATCCCATCCGTGCAGAAATCTCCCGGAAGTTCACATTTCATGTGCTCCGGGTGAAACCAAAGTCCGACAGGACACGAGAAAACGAAACTCTGTCCCGCGTAGCACTCCCAGAACTTGTTACAATCCCCCTTGTAAGGGATAAAAGTATGCCCACTGGAGGGGCAGTCGGGACCGGGGTCGGGGGTAGCGACAGCCACCCGTTGTGCCTCTAAAGACAAGTTTAGAAGAGAAGCGGCGTAATTGG